AGATTTCACATATACGGTATTTCTATTTGTAAATGAAAAAAATTATGTTATTTTAGTTAGTGTATGAATAAAAACACTTTATGCAAATTCTGTGCAAATACGATGAGTTTCGTTGCCAAATACAGTGAGCTGCCATATACGATGAGCTTTCTGTAAATACAGTAGGTAGCATATACGGTAAGCTGCAAATACGATAAGTTGCCTGTAAATACGGTAAGCGCCATATACGGTATGTGCATATACGGTATGCTTAAAATTGATGTTTAAACTGCACGTAGAACATGTGATAATTCGTTTTCATTAACACCACTATATTCCAACACTTGCCTCAAGTCCTCGTGAACAAAAGTAAGTCAACAAATGGCTGCCCAAAATCAATGAATCAAACAAGATAACAAGACACTGTCCACCATTTTTCACCACAACACACAATATCTTCAATCCCAAATAATTTATTAAATACACACCTTTCTAATAAACAAATATTTCAGTGTAATATCCCAATGACAAAGCTGCACTTCTAGCATTTAAACGGAGCTTCTCAAATCCAAACCCAATTCCTACATGGGATCCTGATTTTGATCGGAGAATTTGTTATATGGGCTTCTAGCCCATGAGAAGATAAGTGGCTCAAATCTATTAGATATTGTATTTTAGGTCACATTATACACATATATAGTTAAAAACTGTGGCTGCTTTTCCTACTTTCTCTTATAAGAGCCGCTTTGGAATTTATTATTCATTCTTGTAACCCTCATTTTCACATTTGGTTGAGTTAAACTGTTCCTAAATTGGTTTTGACTTTTGAATACAAAATATTTTCTTTTTCATATTCCCTCATTATTTTATTAGTAGTAATATATTTTTAAATAATATTTTGTCACACTGTAGTTTTTTTTTTTTTTGTCTCCATAAACGACATCGTTTTCTATTTTACCTACGGCTTACATGCTTTGAATCTGACACACAATATTTTTTCTCCATTTCTCACGCTATCAACTACCATATCCTATAATTTCATTAGTAATAATATTTTTTTAAATAATTTTTTATATAAAAGTTATTCTTTATTTCTAAAATGTAAAAAGTTACTATAAGTAAAAAAATCACTTTAAGTTATTTAAAAGTAATAAAAAAATCTTATAATTGTAAAAGCTACTTATAGATAAAAAAAAATATTAACTTCAACATTTTTAAGTAAATATTTAGAGTTTAAATTAAATATTAATAAAAAAAATTACACTATCTAGAATGTAAAAAGTTATTTATAAGTAAAAAAA